TATTTGCTTTTTTATTTATTTTAATTTATAAGAATAAACTAAAAAGCAACCTAGCCCACATTCTAGGCATCCTTAGTGATAATTTAGGGTATGTCTACATAAGAACGGCCGTACTGGGTCAGACCAAAGGTCCATCTAGCCCAGTATCCTGTCTGCCGACAGTGGCCAGCACCAAGTGCCCCAGAGAGGGTGAACCAAAGACAATGATCAAGCAATTTGTCTCCTGCCATCCCTCTCCAGCCTCTGACAAACAGAGGCCAAGGACACCATTTTATCCCCTGGCTAATAGCCTTTTATGGACCTAACCTCCATGAAATTATCTAGCTTCTCTTTAAACTCTATTATAGTCCTAGCCTTCACAGCCTCCTCTGGCAAGGAGTTCCACAGGTTGACTACACACTGTGTGAAGAACAACTTTATTTTATTAGTTTTAAACCTGCTACCCTATAAACACTTAGCCCTTCCAACAGCTAATTCCAAAAATCTGACAAATTATCATCAAACACGACTGGGAGGAAAAAATTATATAGAGAAATGTGAATACAAATTAAGAGTTACTGAAGAAAATCGTATTGGATTGTTACAAATCCAAGATTCCAAATGTGAGGAAACAGACAATTTTGGAGAAAACCAGAGTTTAGTGGTGAAAGGAAAGCAGCAGATAGTAGGGGATAAAATATTTAACAAATGGGAAAAAGGGAAACCAGACAGCAAGCAATAGTTTTATATACCTCTATCATATCCCCCCTCAGTCTCCTCTTTTCTAAACTGAAAAGTCCCAGTCGCTTTAACCTCTCTTCATATGGAACCCGTTCCAAACCCCTAATCATTTTAGTTGCCCTTTTCTGAACCCTTTCCAAGGCCAAAATATCTTTTTTGAGCAAAGAAAAATCTGTAGTTCTGTGTTCGACAACCAGGGGTCGAGTGACTCAGCTGCATGACTAAAAATAGCACTGTAGACATTCAGGTTTGGCCTGGAGTCCATGGTCTCAAAGGGTATGTCTGCACTACAGCTCTAATTCGAACTAAGTTAATTCGAATTAGTTAATTTGATCTAAGCTAATTCGAACCAGTGCATCTAGACCTAAAAACTAATTCAAATAAGCGTTTTGCTAATTCGAACAGCATGTCCACATTGAGTGGACCCTGAACCGAAGTTAAGGCTGGCTGAAACCAGTGCCAGCAGGGCATCAGGTTAGGACTTAGAGTGTGGAGCTGCTGCCTCAGGCTAGCCGAGGACTGTGTTTAAAGGGACCTGACCCCCACCCTGGACAGACAGTTCTCAGGGTTCCCTGCTTGCATGTCTACCTCGATGAGGGACAGCAAAGCAGTCCTGTTTTGGAGTGCCCTGAGTGCCCACACTCGGCACATCACAGCACTCAGCCATCAGCCGGGCTGCATTTGCCGCAGCCTGCCATCCGGGGAGGGGGGCCAATCGGGGGGCTATCAGGATCCAGGAGGCCCTGCAGGAGAGCTTCCATCCTGAGGAGCCCGCAGAGCCACCCCAGTCCTCCCCATCGGGGGCTCGTGCCCCATTCCTCCCTCACCTCCTTCCATTTACTCCTCCCTAGCCCCCCTTCCTGATGTAAAAAATAAAGGACACGTGTTAAATAAAGAGAGTTTCTATTTTTGAACAAAATTGGAAGAGGGAGGGATTAACCTCTGAGGAGACTGGGAAAAGGAGGTGGGAGAGGGGAAGAGAGAGGGTGGGAGACCTGGGAGGAGAGAGCTGGAAGGGGAAGCCAGGGGAAGAAGGAGGAGGGAAAGTATAAAACTATGATACACCATATCTTCAGTACAGTGTACAGACGTGGTCTCCTCACCTCAAAAAAGATGTTCAGAAAAGGGCAACTAAAATGATTAGGGATTTGGAACAGGTCCCATATGAAGAGAGGCTAAAGACACTGAGACTTTTCAGCTTAGAAAAGAGGAGACTGAGGGGGGATATGATAGAGGTATATAAAATCATGAGTGGTGTGGAGAGGTTGCATAAAGAAAAGTTATTCATTAGTTCCCATAATATAAGGACTAGAGGACACCAAATGAAATGAATGGGTAGCAGGCTTCAAATTAATAAAAGAAAGTTCTTCTTCAAAAGCAAATAGTCAACCTGTGGAACTCCTTGCCAGAGGAGGCTGTGAAGGCTAGAACTATAACAGAGTTTAAAGAGAAGTTAGATAAAGTCACGGAGGTTGGGTCCATGGATTGCTATTAGCCAGAGGGTAGGAGTGGTGTCCCTGGCCTCTGTTTGTGGAAGGCAGGAGATGCATGGCACAAGACAAATGGCTTGGTCATTGTCTTCGGTCCATCCCCTCCGGGGTACCTGGTGTTGGCTGCTGTCGGCAGACAGGCTACTGGGCTAGATGGACCTTTGGTCTGACCCAGTACAGCCGTTCTTATGTTCTAAGCTCAGGGCTCAAGATCGGGGGTCTCATTGGACCAACTTTATTTTCATGCAAACCTGCTCCTCGGTTCGCATGTGGTCTTTGGTGGTTAGGCTGGCAGCCATCCTGTCCTAGACATCCACCTTTGTGTGCCTAGAGTGGAGACTGTGGTCGTTGGAGGCCTCCCCCCCAAACCTGGATGAAGTCCACGATCTCCGCACTAGACCAGGCGGGCGCCCGCCTCTTGCAGCCCCGGGCAGGCTCCTGGGAGACGTCAGCCTGGTCCTGGGAAAAAGTGGAGGGCTGAGTGGCAGCAGGTGGCTGGCTCATGCCGTGCCAGGTGCAGGGTCTGCTGGCTGGGTGCTGGCAGGTTTGCACCTGGCACAGGCACCGTAGCCAGACTGTGGCCCTTTAAGGGCTCCGGGGCCGGGAGGGGGGGCAGAAGAGTTTCCCTGGCTTGGCCCAGAGTGGCCACCAGGGCAAGCTGGGAAGGGCTAGCCTCCAACGAGTTGGAATTAAGTGGCTACACAGCCCTTAATTCAAACTACTTAATTCGAACTAGGCATTAGTCCTCATAGAATGAGGTTTATCTAGTTAGAGTTAAGTGCTCCGCTAGTTCAATTTAAGTTCGAACTAGCGGTTTGCATGTATAGACGCTATGAAAGTTAATTTGAACTAATGGCTGTTAGTTCGAATTAACTTTGTAGTGTAGACATACCCTCACTGATCAATGATCCTGGCCTTTGAGGCTCTGCCATGGTTTTGCTTTACTATAACCTGTCATTAATCTTTATAGAAATAATGAACAAAATATAACTCAAGAAAAATTAGAAAAAATCCAACATTGTTTCCTAACATTGCTCCTTAAGCAACACCCCCATTTCTAAATGCTCGTGCAAAAACATCAGGTGAAGTTTAGGCACCTAATACAGTAAACAGAGTATACTTTTAGTTAGGTGCTGAAATATGGATTTTTGTGAATAACTTTATGCATTTGATCTTGCAAATATTGACCTTGTTTCTTTACAGACTAAGCCCATGGTATTTGAATGCAAATCTCTCAAACTATGTGGCATCATAGTAGTTATTCATTAACATTGTCATGCTTCTTTACTTAGTTACATACATCCAAATTATATCCAAAACTCAAGTTTTCTCTTACTGTGGTGGAGCAGTAGGACCTTTGTATATCAGGGACCTTCTCAAGCATATTCACCACGCAAAAGGGTTCCGATTCTGTCAAATATTGATGCATGGCCTTTGAGTTCAAGTCAGATTTGGCATTCTAACTAGTGCCAAGGTGAATAGAACAGAATTAAACCTTGACCATTTGGGCCTCGCCTTTTAGCTTAGCTCATGCTTTGGGGTTTGTTAGAATCATTGAGTTTAATTTTTAATTTAATTTTTGCTATAGGGTGGTAATTAGATGCTCTCAGCGCTGTCTTAGCTCTCCTGACATGACAGTTTAAATATTTACTTCAGTGGGAAAAACAATATACAAACATTGAATATTTTTGAAATTCTACCCTTCATTTCTTATTTTACTTTTTTACAATTGGTGCTATGGAAACACTAACTAAATAGGAAGAACTACACTTCTAGCAAAAACTTCCATTTTAATAAGAGATATATTGTCAAAGCTAGTGAGGGTTGTTGTTTATTTGGATTACAGTTGATTCTGAATTGTATCCACAGGGAAACCAGTTACACTCCTCTGCAACCAGTAACTAACTTAGGCTTTCAGTAACCTTTAAGCTCAACATTTTTGGAAGCAATCAGAGGAAGTGCACTTCTATTAATACAGTGTCTGAATACAATCTTACAAATGTCAGTTTCGTGAACTTGGATAGTCCCTATTTAATGTGAGTGATATCTGAATGCTAAATTAATTCTTCTTTGTCACCAAAGAGACAGACAGACAATAATATACCTGAGCGGTCCTGAACCAGGGAACTTGCTGGACCAGGGGAGGTCAAGGCTCCTCTCCCAGCTATCAGCCTCACTCTGAGGTGCCAACCAATCCACTGGGCTCCACTCCTGGCCCTGGTCACTGGGCTTGCTCTGCTTCACACCGCCCCTCTGCCACCAGTCCCAGCCATGGCTGCACACCAAGCTCCTCCAGCCCTGCTGCTTCTGGCCCCAGGCAGGGCTGTACGTGCTCCCAGCCATTGGCTGAGGCTGCACTCCCTACTGTGCTGGCCCAGGATGTGTTCCCGGCCACCAGCCCGCCAGACCTGCTACCTCCAGCCAGAGCTCCAACTCCTGACACTGGCCAGCCCCTGCTCCCAGCCAGGCTCTCTGGTCCAGCAGTATCCATGGTCCTGCCAGACAACAGATATTCTTGGTCCAGAGTATGCCAGACTTCAGAAGTTCAACCTATACAATATTTAAAAAGAATCCCTCAGAAAATGCTTTTATAAAAAGCAATGTTCACTATATTTATGTCATGTTCTTTTGAAAGCTCAGATAGCAGGTCAAACCAAATGCTTATACCTTTTTTGCTTCTATGAAAGTCAGAAAGGAGACGAGTAATATATTTACTGAACATGAGAATAGTAACTGTGAGTAAGCTGAAAACAATAACATTAATAATGTTTATTTTATTGTTTATTCTAGGTCTCACATAAAGTCTACTTTTCACCAACATCTTTAATCTAACACAGCTGAGTCTGAGACTAACGTTCTACTACAAGATATTCATGCATTGCTGAAATACTTAGCAGTACTTCAGAGAAAACAGGTAAATCACAATTCAGGTTCCTCTCCCCTTACCACCTTCCTTAACAAGTTTTAGAGATGAATTTTTCTAGTCTGTAAATGCTACTTTGTGCCCATTTGGCAGTAAAATGAATTCTAAAATCAGTTTAGCTGACAAAAGAGGATTTCCCCTGTAGATATCCTATCACTAGCCCCATTTGAATGTAAACCTGTCATAGGTCCATATCTGGCTGCTATGACCATTATAGCAGAGTACGTCACAAACAATGCATTTATCCTTACACGCAACACTTCTATTAGATAGAAAAATACTATTATCCCCTATTAGAGAGGCTAAACAACTTACCAAGCTTCATACACAAAATCTTTACTGGAGCAAAGTATTAAACCTGGCTCTCTTTGGGAAAATATGATGTAAGCCACCTTTGTGTCTATTCCCTCTGAACTGAATCTGATTCAAAATGAAAGCATAGAATCAATGTTAGAGGACTGCAGCTGAATTATATATAATCTTTCCATACAGGTTGGACCTCCCTTGTCTGGCATGCTCAGAACCTGACCCATACTAAATGAGAAAATTTACCAGATCAGGGGGATCCTGCCACTGGCCTCCCAGTACACTCCCCCTTCCTGTGGCTGGCTCCATTCCAGCCCCACTGTCACTGGGCTCCCACCTGCAGGACTTGGACTTGTGCTCCAGCCCACTGTGGATACCTGGGGATGGAGCTCCCCAGTTGCCATGGACCCGCTTCACTGTTGCCCAACCGGGAATCTCCGGGGACAGGGCTTGCCGGCTGCCCTGCTTTTGCTGCGCTCTGCTGGGGATCTCTGGGGTTGGGGCTTGCTGGCTGCTCTGCTTTTGCTGCTGGCTATTCTGCTGCTGCCCTGCCCTGCCCTGCCCTGCCCTGCCCTGCTCTGCCCTGCTGGAGGAATAAGGGATCTTTCGGAAAAGGCTTTATTTTCTGAAAGATCCCCATCTAGACTGGCGCTTTTTGCCGGCAACACCCCGAGCCGGAAAAAAGCGGCAGCCATGTTTATGCAAATGAAGCGGGGGAAATGTAAATCCCTGCGTCATTTGCAATTGCTCTGTGTCTAATTTGCATCCCTTTTACGGAAAAGGGGTGCAATCTAGACACAGCCAATATGTACAATTCAAAGAGGACAGATGGTCTTGTGGTTAAGGTATTAGCCGTAGGTGTTTCCTCTGCCAATCTTCTGTGATCTTAGTAAGGCATTTAATCATTCCAGGCATCAGTTCTCCATCTATAAAATAGGGATTTTGATATTTTTCTCTCATCCTTTGTCTGTTGTCTCTTTAAACTGTAAGTTCTTTAGGTCAATAACTGTTTTTACTTTGTGTTTGTATGGTATCTAATGACTTTGGGCCCAAGTTTTAGATGATGACTCTAGGTACTATCATTTAAATTATAATAATTCAATATTTTAGTACATTTAGTGTTTATCAGAGGTGACATCTGGAAACTGAATTCCTAGATTAATCCACAAAATCTTGCAAAGGTTACATTCTCCCATTGCCCTTTTAGTATGTCTTGCTCATGACTAAGCCTTCACAATGGGTGAGAAGTTACTGTGGTGTAAATACAGTTCAGCCCTAATAACCCTCTCTAGTTAATCTTCCACTAAGTAAAAGAAATTCCAATATCCATCTGTATGTATATTGTTACTAAGACCATCACGTCTGCCACAACTGCCTATATAGTCACTTCATTACTGATATTTGATTTATTACTTGCAAACATTTTAAAGGCTGAAGTTTGCCAGATTAAACTAAATTCTATTATAGTCTGTCATGTTCAGGGGATTAAAACTGAAAGTTGTACAAAACTATGTAGTTGTAATCCACAAGGTTTCAAGCAGACCTCTTCTTCAGTTTCAGTTTTCATAGGGTCTTGATATTTAAATATTATTTGATGTATTTGTTTTATGTAAATTTTCTGTAGTTTGGAATTCAAATGTTCAATTTTTCTTCCTCTTATTTATATTGTAATTCCTCAAACACAGCAACTGTCATTGGGAAAATAACTAAGGCCTCAATAATGAGGAACAGTGAGGCTTTTGTTTGTAAGGTACTGAAATAGTGACCTAATGCTTCAACTATTAGGTGAAAAATATTTAGGTGAAAAATACAATGTTTCTTGCTTGGCAATTTCAGTAAATTTGAAACTGCTTGCATCTCAATTCAAATCAATTTTCTTAAACTCGCCTGTCTGCGGTGTGCACAGGTCTGCAGAAAATAATTTTTCATTGACTTACTACAGGATCACATTTCACTTGAAAAACAAACGACATGACATATAGGATTAGAGAGGTTCATATTCCGGGAAAAGCTGGATAGACTATTGTTCATTTTTTTTGTATTTATTTAGTCTAATAGTATGTCTACACTACAGTTAGACAGCTACAGCTGGCCCAGCCTGTGCAATCTGACTCAGGCTAAGGGATTGTTTAACTGTGGTTTAGACTTTCAAGCTTGGTCTGGAGCCTGAGTTCTAGGATGCTGCGAGGTGGGAGGCTTTCAAAGTTTGAGCGGCAGCCAGAGCCCAAACATCTGCTCAGCAGTTAAACAGCCCCTTAGCCTGAGTCGGCTGGTGTGCGTCCTCTGCAGATGTCTAATTGCAGTGTAGACATACCCTAAGATGACATTGGCTCCGCTGTCATTTATACTTTCATCACAAGTTGTAGGAGACATAAAGGACATAATGCAAGGCTCACTGAAATCAGTAGAAAGACTCTTGCTAACTCCATTGGGGTATGGATTAAGCTTAAAACCATTTAGACCAAGTGCCAGCCAGTGGTACTCTGTCTTACCTGTACTTCCAGGCGAAGGAGGCTCAGCAGAGCTGCTAAGTCCCATTCCCAAGCAAGGGAGGGGGAGAGGGAGGGGGAGGGAAAGTGAGGATTAAGTGAAGTCTTGGTTCCATCTCCCAATGCTGCAATAATAGATACATGTTGTGCTGCGTATAGATCCATATATTAAACAGAGAGATCAGCATCTCCACCCCACCCATCCCTTTTTATTGTGGTGATGCTGCTGTTGCTGTTGTTGAATAGCTGTGTCAACACCAATGGAGTTGTATTATTAACAGTATTTTAAATGGCTACTTTTGTGAAAAAAACCTGTTAAGACTGCCAAGTCCACAAGCATTCGTATTTTCAAGACTACATGGGAAGGATTGTTAAGAAAACAGAAAATAATGAATATGGCAGAAAATGTTCTGTCTTTAGAAGGAGCTTCTTCCAAACTAATTTGTAATTGTCATGGCTTATACAATGGAACAAAACACTACATGGAGACTCTAGGTTTTGTTGCCGGACTTTTATTTGTAAAATGTCTTTAATGAGTTTTCATGAAACACAAAATTGATAGGTGGCTAAGATTTGTTTTGACATCATGATAAAAGGAATAGCATGATGTCCTCAGACTTGTTCTAGTTAATTGGCTAGGTTCCGTCTACTTTTAAAAAAAATTAAGCCATAATATCATATTTTAAAATATAAAGTTTTGTATTCTGAATTTGGAATCTGACATGGTTATCTGGAAATTCAACAGAGACCAAGCAAATTAACTTAGTAAGAAGTTGACTGTTTTGATGCTGCATATATTTTATGAACTTATTGATGGATTTATTCCAAAAGTCCATTAGTTTCCTGGAGTAGGACACTGTTAATGCAAGTTAACTTTATTATGTGATTGTACCACCTATCAGGATTCAATGGTGTAACAGAACAAATAAGAGAACTTTGTGAACTTTGCATTATCTCAGTCCTCTTTTCATTGGAACAAGAAATGTTCCTCTTAGGGCATAAACCAAGCAACTACATAAGAGGAAATATGGTTTTCACTTAAATATTCATTAATTTTATAGTCTTCTACATGAAGAGAATGGGTCCTGAATTTCATTTGTATGGGAGGACCTGTGGTTAAAGGAACTTGTAAGTGTTCTTGCTCCTGAAAACAAATTGCACATATTTAGTACTTGCAAGTTTCCTGTGAGTATCAGAAGACTGTATTAACAGCCACCCTAGCAGCAGAGTACATTTTTGTTTTAACCAAAGTCTATTTAAAGACAGAGCCCTGGCAGATATTGGCAAAGGCAAATACAATGACAGACCAGGATTTTTGTCACTCCATATACACAATACCAGTTTAGATAAACAAGCTTCATTATGGACTCCAATCAAAGTAATTTCGGGAAAAATCAACAAATCAGTTCAGATGCCAACTTACTGGATATGAAGGGAACGTACATCTCCTGAGTGGCAGCTGTAACTAAAAAAACTGAACCACAAATGCCATGTAAATGAAAGTTCTTTGCATCCCATGAAGGGCACCAGTAAAACTATAGCCTGTCTCCAAATGTTTCCATTCCTATATTTCCCCAGGGAACAGTGTTTTATAGATGGAAGCATTGTCTCCCTTCTGCTTCGTTTCACTTCATTGTTCTTGTTAACACAGGACAGACCTGGAATTTAAAAAAAAAACTGGATGGAGCAATAGCTAAAATGGGGCCTTGTGAAGGATGTGATATAGTGGCATTAATCTTCCTCATTCCATGTGTGAGAAATTATTAACCAAATTGTTATTGTGTAGCAGTTAACACATTTGTCTTACACATATACGAGCTCAAGTTAAATGCAGAGAGTAAGCACTACTCCAATGGCCACTTCTGTGCCACATTTTCATCTGAGCCACAGAAATGTGTAATCTCCACTCCTTTTACCAGCATTGACTTTGTATCCCTTAGCACCATTCAACAAAGCATACTTGGGCTGGGTGAAAAGACTGATTTCTGACCTAATGCTGTTGCCTCAGGTGTCCCACATCTGAAAGGCTTTTCATCCTTTACCCACTAGTAGTCACCTTTTTGTACTGCTCAAGAGGTTGACATTTGTGGCATACATGCCAAAAAACCAGAAATGAGGTCAGCTTCAAATAGGTGAGGCTTTGACATTAACTCTGACATATGGAGGTGATGAATCGGCAAACTTCACAGAGACAGTTACTCAGTGAGCTAAATGTGCGGAGTCTATGAAGTCAGAGGCTCATAGGTTCATATCATCCCAAGGATTTAGAACCAATATCTGTTAGTCACCCAGTAGAGACTTTTACATTGACAGCAGTCTATAGGTGCTGACTCAGCAAACCTCAATACAAAAGCAAGTAGTGCATTGCCGATAACATTAGGCAAGTCTGGTCCTTGACACCCACCCAATATGCTGCAGGTGTTCATACATCTCAGAGTCTAAAACTTTAACAACAGTTTCTTATTTCAATTTTCTCACATTTCAAAGTGAAATCTTTGAGACACACTACAGCAAAGATGAAAATTTTCCAGATTTTCACTCTTCCATTGGATTTAGGTATCTTTTTCACAAATTTATTTACCTCAGCCTGAGAGGAAACATGCAAAATGGATGCTACAGGATAGGAAAATTCTTTCATCAAATCCCTCATCTTTTTCCCAATACTGTACTTCAGCTAAGGGATCAAATTTGGTATTAAAGCTACCTAATTGCTTCCTCCCCTCCTCCTGTCCTCTACATGGCAAGAAGAGCAAAGAGGAGCTTCCAGGCAGTGAAAGTAGGAGAAGAAACTTTGGGAAAGATCCCTCTGACAGTAGGAATTGCAGATTTGAAGAAGATTATTCCCTCCTTGCATTGTCGACATACCTACCACTTTTAAAGAACTGAAAGCATACTGGCACCAGCAGCTAGAATATCAGTAACTATGTTAAACTTGGAGTAGTTCTGTGGCACCTTATCAAGAGCTTTTGTGGGTAAAATCCATTTAATCAGATTGAAATTCCTTGATAGAAAATGTCTGATTTGTGTCCATTTATCCTTTTGCTTAGAGCCTGTCTGGTTTGGCCAACATGCATGGAAGCAAGGCATTGCTGTCACTTGATTGCTTACATCATATTAGATGATGTGCAGTTGTACGAGTCTTTGATGTTGTGGCTTATGTGGTTAGGTCCTGTGATAGTGTCACTTGTATACATACGTGGACAGAGTTAGTAACAGAGTTTGTTGCAATGATAGGTTCCTGGGTGAGTATGACTGAGGTGTAATGTGATGTGTGGCTGCTGGAAAGGATTTGCTCCAGGTTGGGGGGCTCTCTGTAGATGAGGCTTATTGACCTGTCTCCCAAGGCCTGTAAGAGTGAGGGATTGTTTTCCAGGATACATTGTAGATTGTTAATGATGCACTGGAGGGGTTTAAGATAGAGGCTGTAGGTGATGACCAGTGGTGTTCTGTTGTTTTTCTTGTTGGGCTGGTCTTGAAGAAGCAGATTCCTGGGTACTCGTCTGGCACTGTCAATCTGAGACATGTTAAATGACGCTGTTCTTGAGTTTATTAATGCTTGAATAGGGTCACCAGCTTTTCCGCTTGTGTCAGGGATTATCAGAGCCTTTTGCTTCTCCTTTCTTTGACTGATAGACTTGGACACGTTGTCAAGATGTGCTCATGTACGTATTTCATTCAGTTGTTTCTGCCTTCACTCTGTTCACCAAACAACCACTTCACCTTCATTTAAAAACATAATTAATCTTGTTCAAAATGGATTAGTGGTGACACTCCTCCTTAATGATATGCATATAATCTCAGGATGCACAGCTGTTGGTACAGTCTTGGATTAAACCGTTCCTTAGACACATTTTTGTGATGCACAGCCACATGCAGGGCCACATTGTTGCCAGTACTGGTGCCCATCTGTTTGTCTGGCATGGCGCCCATTCAGAAGTTGGTCAGACCTTGCTTTAGGACACAGAAATCTTAATGATGCTGTGAGTACCACACTGTCCCTCTTCTATGACTGTACTGCCCCCTGGGTGCCAAATGACTCTTTGCAATAATATTTAAAATGTTGGGCATAAATGTAAATAATTAGTTGCCTATACTAGTTTGCTTTCTATTGTAAACTCTTCTGCTTTGGATATCAAGAAAAAGCTTTGTGTTGAAATGTAATGGCTTAAAAGATATGGTACAATATAGATAACGTCATTTTTATTTCCTTTCTTGGTAGGTGTCAGGATTTATTCTTTCCCATGAAGGAACCATTGAACATTAGCATCGCATGCAGGCAAGTGACATGTGGTGTACACCTTAGCACAACGCAAAGAACATTTCAGAATGTTCTGCACGCACAAGTAGGACCAGAGTCACTAAAGAGATCATCTCTCATTTAGGAACCTACATAAAGCAGATTGTCAAAAGCTCTCAGTACCCAACGGGTTCCACTGAGCTAGTTATCTATGTGCCTAAATGGGAGCTGGTGGGCATTGAGGTGTTTGGAAAAATCTGGTCCTTGGCTTCTGTAAAAAAATGTACAGTAGTAATCATATGGCTCATTATCGTACAGTCAATATCACCAAATCACCCAGCAGTGTGGGTTTCAGTCATCCAGTCAGTGGAACTCATAGTTCCCACTGCAGACCATTTAAATGACCTTGACAGTTGTATGCATAATGAAACTATAGTTAATACTTCATCATTTAACTGTTTTGCCAGAGTTCAATCAGTCTTTTATACAGACTATTTGATTTTGTTTTCTTCTATGTTAGTGCTATTTATTCCAGTGATGAATTTTTATCGTACAATCTGGTGATCTAATGTGAAAGTCTTTGAAATCTGTGCCATGTGCAATAGTATTATATCAAAATAGGAGCGAGTTTAAAATGTTTCTGATGTAAACTTATTATTTGAGCATTTCACCTGTTGTTAATGCACTATCAAATTGCACTGTTGCAAAGGACTTGAAAAAGAGCTAGCTAACGTGCTTACAAACTGTAGAGATTTTGTCTGTTTATGTGCGCTCAAATGTACTGATGCTAATGGGGATTTTGTGCCTTTTTCATGGAGTCTTGTACTGCCTGGAGGATCACATTTGTTGCAGATTTTGAAGATCAGTTTTTGGATATGAATATTGTTATGACAGCCATTATGGTAGTAATGTTACACAAAGTTTGCCATGCTTTTTTACTTAGTGTGAGAGGAAATGTTCCATCCTGGGAAGACTGTTGTCATTGTTTGGTTATGTAATGTTGTGTATAAAGGCTGTGGTCTTTGGGCATGGAGCTATGTGAGCAGCAGGAGAGTATGTCTTCTGCCTGTCTTTGATTAGAATCCATTCTTGAGGCAGAGGTTTTTTTCTGGGAACCAGGCATTTATGGGGACATGGAAACAATGAGTTGTGTGGCACAGTGTGGTTAAATGCAGTCTGCAACTTTATTTAAAACATTACAGGAAACCCCCGCTTTATGATGGCCTGAGTTGCAACTACCCCCCACACTTACAACCATTTTTGTAAGTGTGGACAGGGCCAAAACCCCCCAACTTATGTCCTCAGCCCGCATTTACGACAGCGCACGGCACCTAGAGTAAATGCGGGTTCGAGTTCTGACGCCCCCGACTTGCGATACTTTCCCAGGAACCAATAGTGTCGCAAATCGGGGGCTGCCTGTAATGGAACACTCTCCAATGTAACTGGCAGAGCTGTATCAGTGCTCATTTCAACTAGGAAATACAGATCCTGGATGTGTCTAGGCAGGGTAGGGCAAAAAGTGGCCCGTGGGCCAAATGTGGATTGTCAGAGTTAGTTCCTGGTGGGCCACCAGGTGCTTTCTTTTATCATAGCGTTCATAGGCATGGAGCCCCACAGTTCCTGTTTGCTGCAGTTCACCGTTTCTGGTCAATGGGAGCTCTGAAAAGTGATGGACCAGCCCACACCACTTTTTGCAGTTCTCATTGGCCAGGAATGGTGGACCACAATCACTGGGAGCTGCAAACAGGCTTTCCTGCAGACACTCAGGTAAATACAGCATCTCGTGGCCTGCTAGAGAATGACCCTGTCAAACTGCATCCAACCCATTGGACACTTATTCCACACCCCGATCTGAGGGTAACACCCACTCTCCACCCGTAGGCCTGCCCAGGAACTAAGTTTGGAAGCCAGGGTCCTAGCCCACTCCCCTCTTCCATAATGAGGGTAGCCCCCAATGTCACTGGAACCCACCCAAGTTACAACAATGTAATTTCAAATCCCAAACCCATAACTCCTGTGATGATGGATGGAATGAGAAAAATCTCAAATGGTAGTTTGCTATTTTTTTCATTGAGAAGATCCCTTCCAGACTGCAAGCAGAGTGTGCCAATCAGCCTTGCTCCTTCCATCATGAGATACTAGATGCCACCTCACTGGATTAAGGTGGTCAGGGTGGGTCTGAAACAGAGTCAAACTGGATACTCAGCAGCAGCAGCAGCAGCAGCAGCAACAGGAGGCAGATGCTATCCTTTCCTCCCCACTCTGGTACTCCAGAAGGGTCAAGCAATTTTGTTGGTTCATCATGTCCCCTGTTGCCCAGTGGCAGCAGGAGTGAGGTGGAAAAGCTCCAGGATGCAGCTTCTATTTAAGAAACTCAATCACCACCATCCCGCTGCACAACAAAAGTAGGAAGGGATGGAGTGAGAGAACAAGAAGCATCTTTTGCACACATTCCAGGCCATCAGGTGGGAGGGGAGGCACACAGGGTTCTGACCATCTACTCTAGCTTATATCCCCTTCCCTGCCTTACTCAGGGTGGAGTGGGAATGTCCTCATTGCTCTCAGCACTGGTATAGATTTGAGTGTCTTGAAAGAGGAGATGTGACTTGTCTTTTTAACTTTGCTAAATAGTCACTGTTATAAAAATAATTGTTGATGAGGTAACAGAATCCACCAGAATATTCTGAATTTAAAATGGATTCCAAATCCAGCTGCAGAAGATCTTGATTTTTCTAGTGTAACTTGTAACTTTTTCTGTAACCATTCTTCAATCAGTTTCTTTTTTTATTTGGATGTACAAATCTTTGGCTTCAGTGGAATGTGATGAAAGACTTGGCACAAAGAGGGCAACAGCTTGGCAAAACCAGAGTACATTTTTTGGATATATATATATATATCCATTGTACTTCTATATCTTGAATACTATGTGCACATCTAGTTGTCCCTGTTCAAACAATAATATATTGGAACTGGAAAGATCCTGAAAAGGGTAATTATTTTGATTAGGGTTGTGGAATGGCTTTCATCAGAGGAGAAATGAGTAAGACTTTTCATCTTGGAAAACAGATGACTTAGAGGAGATATAATAGAGGTGTACAAATCATGATTGGTCCAAAGAAAGTAAATACGTATTTTTTTCTCCTCATAATACAAGAAGCGGGGGGTCATCAAATGAAATTAATAGGGAGCAGGTTTAAAACAAATGAAAGGAAGTATTTATTCACACAACACACAGTCAGCCTATAGAACTCTTTACCAGAGAATGCTGTGAAGGTCAAAACTATTACACAGTTCAAAAAAGAACTAAATAAGTACATGGAGGATATTACCCAGGATGGACAGGGATGCAAAACCATGCTTTGAAGTGTTCCTAGCCTCTGTTTCCCAAAAGCTGGCTATTAGTGACAAGGGAGATTTCATTGATTACCTAATCTGTTCATTGCTTTAAAGGCCTTGGCATTGGCCACGGTCTGAAGACAGAGCTTAATGAGTCATTGGTCTGACCCAATATGACCGTTCTTATGTTCTGTGGTGACCTTTTAAATAATAGCCATACACATCTGAAAAATATACTGCAGGAGAGTACACTAATTGAACTTCAGTGTGGCATAGTTGGCATCAGAATAGCTTGAGTTTGGTTCAAGTCCAAATCACGTGAACATAGAGCTTTTACTACATACTGCATGGTTGATATATTTATGAGGCTCTCCTATTCATTTAGTCTAATGAAGTAACTGACCTCAAGTAATATCCATGTTTCATTAAGGAGCTAGATCAATAAATTCTGCTTTCATTGCCTTTCTTGTGGATTAATTTTCTATTAGTTTGAAAGAGAACCCACCTATAGATTTTGATTGAGGTTGATTGAGCATTAGTCTTTATAGAGGGCACATCTGACAGGGTTGTGTCTAATATATGATGCTGGTGATGTGATATAAATACTATAAATACTGTGTGTGTGTCATTAAATGTCATCACTCTTCCAGTTTTTATACAGCAATAAAATGGCTAACACCACTACCAGCTGTAGGGGCTATAAACCAGTTGCAATCCTGCATTAGTACTAATCTAACAAGCAAAAGAACAATATATGTATTCAACTAAAGTTCCTAGCACAGTTCTCTGCAGCTCTTTGCTATAGGTCTCTGATGTCTCATATTGAATAATATGATTTGATTCACTTTCCCAGCCACACATGTTGCTCCCTTGAGCAAATTTCACTGTCAGGATAACAGAGCAGACATGCTGACAGAAATGAAGCCAAAAGGTACAGTAACACAGCAGTTTTTGGCAGAGCAAACAAGTGATTCGTGGGAGAACTGCAAATGTAGGAGAATACCTTTACGCTCTCTTGTGACACCTAGATAGAAATGTGTTTGTGAAAAGTTGCTCTCTTTGACACATGTGGCTTCAGGTGGCCTGCACCACTGAGACAGGAAGATTATTAAAAGAACCCTTTCCTCTTGGCAACCGTCTGAATGACTCAGCATTCATAGTTTATTTCCCATTGACACACAGTACATAAATATTTGAAAAGTGAGATTAAGTGATTATCATAACTTCAAAATCTCCTAGAGCCATGATAAATAACTCAGGACAGCTTCACCTATTGTTTTTGCCACACTCCTTATTGCTGAGATAATTGTTTTCACATTCATAAACATTGTTTAACCACCTGATTCTGCACTAAGATGACAGTGGGGTTATGGGTTTTAGACAAAAAAAAAATCCCAACAGAATTTAATATATGGCTAGAGATTGGGCAAATATTTAGAGTGCAATCCTGCAAAATTCTCTGTACCCCTAACTCTGAAGACTCACAGTCATTTGTTGTCACAGGACTCTAGACACTCTCCATCGTCAACTGGCCAGGAGATTTTGCCCATTCCTTTTGATGAGGACACAGCCCCATGATTCACCCTTTTGTCATTACCAGCCTACTATAGTACATTACTACTGCAATATTTATTAAGGCTTTGTGGCTGCAACAGCTCATTCAATATGCAGTAGCCCATCACTCTGTTCTTTCCATTGTTTC